AAAATCCTACTGGAAAAGATAATCCACACATAGCAAACCCCTCTTGATCTCCACAGCAAAAAGGGAGCCCATTCTATTGGCCAAATATTATGGCAAGACTGTGCTGTTTAGCCAGTTTTATAGCATTTTCACTGTGCTTATCATCCTCAGTCTTCAGGATAAGTCAGATGAACCAACGACAGACATCAAAACTCAACTGGCAGGCACCTGCCTGGGTGGCTCAGTCAGTTATGCGTTTGTCTTCGGCTCAGGTCATGATCCAGGATCCTGGGATCAAGCTCCATGTCAGGCTCCCTGCTCACCAGGGAGTTTTCTTTTCCCTCTACCCCACCCCCTTGCTTGCTTGTGATCTTCTCTCACTTTTTTCTTTTCTAATAAAGAAATAAAACCTTTAAAAAACAAAAATTAAAAAAAATCACCCTCAACTGGCAAAATTTGTGGAAACTCTCCAAATACCTTGCTGGTTGGTTCTTCTAAACCTCAGATCCAAGCCCTTTGGAACTCATAAACTCTCACCCTTTGAGAAATTTCCAAAGGCCCTGTAAATTTAGCTTTCACCTCTTTTTACCTGCACTTAATAAATGGAGATACACTTCAGTATTACAAATGTCTAATTACATGCCTTGAAAATAATCACGCTCTGGTAGAGCAATCTTTTCACAGTGCACTCCCAGGAGATGAAGACCTCAAACACCATACCCTGCAACCTGGGAATTTTGTTTATTGGAAAAGACCTCTCCAAAAAGACTCTTTTCAACCACGCTGGAGAGGCCCTGATCAAGTGTTACTGACCAATCCTTGTGCAGCCAAAATCCAAAGAGTGGACTCTTGGATCCGTGTGTCTCATATAAAGAAAGCCCCCAAACCTGGCTGGACCTGTACACCAACTGGGTGATCTCAAATTGAAGATTTCCAGGAACTGAAGCAGACAACAGCTGAAGCAGACAGCTTTCCCCGAGATGATGGGATCAGGCAAATACTCTTTCTGCTTTTTCTGCCTCTGTTTCCTCCTTCTCTCTCCTGGAGAGACAATGCCCTCCTTCACATTTCCCAGTTCCTCACAAAAGGGGGAATGTTTCTAATTGTTCAGATTCTGTTGGATCTGCGCATACAGTCCTGACCCTGTAGTCTTCCTCACAATCTTCTCCTTCATCTCCACTGCAACCACTAACTCTCGTTGCACCTCTCCGGATTCTATGGTTTGATTCAGGTTTTCCTGTCCCTTACTTTGATCTCTCCCCTGAAGTAACTCTCAATACAACTAATGGTACCCATATGGTTGCCCATTCTCACTCCTACCTTAGGTCTGCTTGCCCTAGCAGAACAACCCCTCTCTATATGGCCTTCGAGAACAAAGTCCACAGAACAAGAGGATTTCTCCCTAACTATTCCTCAAACACCACTGACCCTTTTAAGCCAACAGTCATTTCTGATTATTCAGATTCTGTTGGATCTCCACATACAGTCCTGATTAAACCCCAATTAACAGCACTATTAGTAATCAAACCCTAGCACAAATCCTATAGGCACCACCTGATTTTACCTTTGTGGAAAACGGGCCTCTCAATGGGCCTATGAATGTTAAGCAGCTGGCAGACTGGAGGCCAATGCTTGCTAGAATTTCTAACTGTCTCTGTGCACAACCACAATTAATCTGAAGCCTCTCGTTGGTCTTCCCCATTAAATCTTCACCACTGCCTTACTCCCAGGAAGTACATGGGACTTTGGATTTGCCTCTGTTGGAAGGGCATTATCTAGGCTACAGGCACTCAAACCAGTGAACAAATGTGATAGCAAGCATCTGACACATAGGAATAAATTCCTCTGGAGAAACAGAAACCCAAATACATACAATTAAAGAACAAGCATATTGGCTACAACAAATTCCACATCACAATCCATGGTCCTTTGATCTCTTTGGCTAATTACCTTAGGCTTTAGGGTCTTGGTATAGGACTATTATACAACTGGGGTCATTACTCTGCTCCTCTCATTTTATATAATAATCTTTAAGCTTTGTACTTGGTACTAAGCCTTTGTAGAAAGAACGTACCCAGTAAGGCAATGCTGACTGACTCAATACCTCAAGATCATCTTCAATGCTTACAACCTTGATAAGATACAGGCTTTAGATGGGAAATGCCTGACAGCTTTCCCTTGTTACTCAAGTGTGGCCTCAACAGTTCCCAATCTGGAATCCACTTCGTTTGACGTGGGAGAGGACATCCAGGAAAGGTACAAAAATGTTTCAAGGTACAGAAATGTTTCTAATAAGGAACAGATGACCCAGCTTTTGATCAGTGATGCTCTTAAAGAAGGATCTTGACCAAAAGGGGGAGAGGTGAAAATGTGTTAAAAAAACCTAACACAAAACTGGAGTTGGGAAGCCATGAAAGGAGGGCTCTAACACCCATACCACTCGTGGTCACAGCCTGCACAATCCAGAAGGAAGATTTCCTCTCAGTCCAGCAAGAGCAAACTGCCCCCACCAGCAGCCAGTGAGAAGTCACCACCACTTAGAACTCTCATTTTTCCTCCAAAGAACTTTTGTTCAAAACAAATCCCTCCCAACTTCCTCCGTCCTTCTATAAAAGGACAGTCTCCTTTGTTCTCCCAAATTGCCTTTGGTTTGCCATCATTTGCCTGTCCTGAACTTCAGTTCCTCTGCATAAACTCAATTTTGCTGGTTGAATTACTTACCATTTCCTTTTTTTAAGCTTTTTCCTTTTAAAAGGTTGACAGACGTATGTACCTAAAAGTTCCTTAATTTCTCTGAATCTCATCCGTTTTCCTATGCAGTCTAAATATAACAGCACTCACTACAAAACAGTCAAATCACAAAGCACAAGTGCAGTACCTATCTAAGCACTTCGCTGATCATGAAGCTCTACAGAAAGGTTACTTTCAGTATTTGTCTTTACTAAGAGATCAGATCCCTATAAATGAAATCCCTGACGTTACTGGCCACTCTTGAGCACCATTCCTCTACCGAGGCTAAGAGTGGGAAGTCGCTGAGCGAGAGTGCAATAGATAGGAATTGGGTTCCAAGGCCAGAATCTGAGTGCCCAGTTCTTCAAAGGGCCCATGGATTGCCCTATGAAACATGTGTACACAGAATAAAGATCAAGCACCTAAACGTGGATCTGAGAAAGCAATTTTATTTTATATTGGCAGGAAGAGGAAGCTTCCTTATCAAAATTTTATTTTAGGTAATACGAGAACAAAATTTCAGAAGTCACTCCTCAGGCAACTCTTTTTTCTTCTCATTTGTGCCTCTCTAGTTCTACATAATTTGTTTGCACATATGCTTTTTGATTTGCAGGCATTACCTATTGGCTTCCTACGAACTGTGTAGAGAAAGTGTCCAGAGCCAAACTTGGGATGTTATCATGCAGAACTGCCCAGTGATGCATTACTCCCAACAGTCCTTTGATTTCTAGTCTTTTACAAGCAATACAACCTATAGCGTCTCTGTGTAGAGGCAAGAAGGAAGCCAGCTGGGTAGCTGGGCCTAAACTATGAGACCACTCTAAACCTGTCTCTGAATCTAGTTCACTGAAGCTGGGTTTCTTTTGCCCTTTCCACCCAACCCACATAATTTAATCCTGTTCTGAAAGCGATAGGACAAACGAAAAATGGGACCCTAAACTTAATGCATTTCAAGATAAGCACAGGCACAATTCTTATTTGCTCCGTACAAAGGGATTAACTGCAGCTAAAAGAAACCAGCTTTTAATTATCTGAAAAGTTATCTAAAGCCGACAAGTATGTAGCATTAAAATTTATGGACTGGATCTCCTGCATAATGTCTGTCCAGAGGTGAAACACTAATGTTCTCCAAATGTAAACTTCAGATGGGGTATGATAAGTTTGGGCAGGGACAACAGCCGGTCTAGTGCCAGGTGTACAAGTGAACTTGAGGTCAGGCAGGTGACCCCACCAAGCAGGCATGGTACATTAAGGAGAGGAAATCTTTTCTGTCATTAATCAACAGGATAAAGGTGATTAAGCAGGAATTATTTTTCAGTGACCTACATAATTTCATCAGGGCTGCTGTGGCTATTAGCAGAGAGCAGATGACTTCCTAATAAGATGAATTTGATAGCAGAGCCCTTCCAGAGAAGCCTGCGGGTGGGCCCAATCCGTAGGCTTACTACTACTCCTCGGGGTTCTCTCCTGTTTGGGGTTCCTTCCTCCAACTGGGGTATTTCCCGTCACTGGACAGCGGAGGCTGCAGCCCTCGCTGAATGGTGGAAGATGGATCAGTTAAAACTCGATGGGATCCAGGTGGATGAAACAAAGCTCACATGATTCCCAAAGTTCCAAGCAAACAAGACTACACCTGCTACCAACACCTCTCTCTGGCCGGGCTTGAACCAGGACCGCAGCTAGTTCCATTCCCCAGCAGAAACAGGGTTAACAAGGAAGCTTTGTTGGAGTCCGGGCGGGGGAGAGACAGACAGACACGCAGGCACACCGTCAATAACAACCACCAGGACTTGAACGCGGTTTCATTACAGACCTTATGAAATTGAGCAACAGCCACCCAACGAGTCCGCCCTTACACCAGGAGTACTGCAAACCTCAGAGTGGCCTCACCTCCGTCTCCTGCGCAAGGGCGAGGTGGCTTGGAGAGGAAAACTGAGCCCTAGATCTCTCCGCCTCTGGCGTCCCTCCTCTAGGACCCCCGCTCTCTGGCCTCAGGGCCCCAGGAACGAGGTGGAGAGTCCCGCTGACATCTTTCTCCGTCAAAACAAGCCAGCTCTCTCTCCCCCGGGGTCAGTCACCGAGTAACGCCGGGTCCCGCAGCTCTGGCAGCCGCCGTGCTGCGACCGCACGCAGCGATCTTGTAGGTGATATTCCCAGCGCAATCCGCATCCCAATACCTGCCCCTCCAGCCCAGTCGGGAGGAATGCAAGGAAAGGACCCGTCTGCTCTCTCCCTCCCTTAAGCCCCTAAAATAAAAGAATCCCTCAAGCGCAAAGCAGGATGCCACGTACCTGTCCGCGGACCCGGCTCCTCCTCCCTCCAAGTGCGGGACTCTCCGGACAAGTATCCCCAAACAGCCGGGAAAGTTTGTGCCGCCGTCCTGGGGACACGGGCCCCCGAGCCGCCACCCGCGCCGGGCACCGGGTGGTGTGGGGAGCCGGCTCCTCCCCGCCCGGCTCCAACTCCACAAACAGCCAGGCCCCAGGAAGAAAGTAGGAGGAGGGAGAAGGTTGGAGCGCAACTTTTCGACCGTGCGTCAGCGGGTGGCAGAGCCGCGCCGCTCGGGGAGTCGGCACCACTCCCCCCTCCCGACTCTGCCCTCGGGAGCGCGGGCGGGGCGAGCCGAGAGGGGCGGGGCCCAACCTGCGCTGAGGCCCAGGGGAGCGCGCGGCCCGGCTCTGCCCGGGCCGCCGCCAGCCCCGCCCCCGCCCCGCCCCTGCTCCTGCCCCGGGGACGCGCGGGCGCCAGGTGCGCGGGGGCTCTGGCTCCGCCGCGCGGCCGCCTGGCACTGGTTTCCAGGGTGAAGGGGGAGGAGCTTCGGAGGGAAACTTTCCACCGAAACTTAATCCCGCGGCGTGAAGGACACCCCGCCTTTGGGGGCTCATCTTTGGCCGCAACTGCACCCCTTCGTGCACAGCCGCGCTCACACTCCCCAACCAAACGAGAACATAAATCAGCACTTAAGAACCGACCAGAGGGCTCGTCTGTCGGGTCCTGTGGAGTGGAGGAAGTCGCTACTCCAGCCGTCACGGTCGTTTTCGATGTCTCTCTTCCCAGAGGTCTCACGGCGGCCGGCGGCACCCTCTCCCCACCCCAGTTTCTCCCCACTCCAGCCTTTCTTTTTGACCCTGAGGTTTGAATTTTATAAAATGCTAATACTGTCCCAAGAGACCTGAATCAAATGATGGGACCATTCCCCTGTTACTCTACAGGCATATTCTACTGAAGTGGGCAGGGGGAGATTTGCCCTGGGCAAACCTAATGTATCAGGGTTTGGGGGAGCGGGACAAGGTGGGGAGGTGGGTTGTGAGGGGGGTGTTGCTTTTATTTTAAGATGAGTCAATATTGTTGCAGTTGTGAGTATATGTGTGCGTGACACACGTTCACAGTCAAACACACACACACACACACACACACACACACACACACACGGCACCATGAGGGCTTCTTAATTTGGAAAGTTCTACAGCAAAAAGGAACCATCCCCAACTCAGGACTCCCCGGAAAATGGGACAGAAGTTTCAGAACCCATTCCCCATCCCCCTCCTTTACCTCACCCCCACCCCTACCACTGGGTTCGGTTAGAAGGGTTAGTCTTTGGCATTGCCTGAGTCTCAACAGCCTTCCCAGAGCCCAGACCTCCACCCCGGACAGCCTGGCCCCTCCTTTGCCAGCTGCCCTTCATTAGACACTTGGGTCTGTGCCCACTGCCAAACCGGGAAGGGCCGCCTTCCCCATTCCTCCATCTCCCACACCTCCCTGCGTGCTTGGGCAGCATAGTCCATGCTTTGCTTTCTGGACTTTAAAGCCAGAAGAAGGAATCAAATTCTTGGGCAGAGACCTTCTTGGCAGCATTTTCAGAGCCCTGTGGTTGGCGTGGTTGAAACTTGAGGTAAGCCTAAACCTGAGCAGGTTGGGCCACACCAGGGCTTACAAAGGCGGATGTGGAGATATTTTCCACCTCAGCAGCATCCTGCTGGCACCTTACCAAACTCTCCTTTGGAGGAAGCATCTTCCTCCCGTCATTCTCAATGAATTGCATCCAGAGATAACTAAAATCAGGTATATCTGGTTTCAAGTTCTCTCTTGAGGCCATGGTAATGGGATGATGGGAATTTCACACTTCTTTCTAAGGCTGTCTACCACTCTGCTGTGGTTCCTGGAGGGCAGCAGGAACAAGGGTTGCACGTCCTGCGATTCCTCTGATTCCTCTCTGCTGCGATTACCACCTGTAACAAGAGCAGACAGGTGTCTCTTAAATAAAAGCTGGGGAAGGACAAGAGAGGGAGAAAGTAGAAAAGAGGAAGTTCTCTGCATAGCAGGTACCCTTGTTGTGCTCTCATGATTGCAACATGGGGGGGGGGGTCCTTCACTTATGCAACCACTATTTAGTGCTTTGGGCATGTTAGGCATTCTTCTAGGTGTTGGGATCACAGGCAAGAACCAACACATAGGGGCGCCTGGGTGGCTCAGTGGGTTAAGCCGCTGCCTTCGGCTCAGGTCATGATCTCAGGGTCCTGGGATCGAGTCCCGCATCGGGCTCTCTGCTCCACAGGGAGCCTGCTTCCCTCTCTCTCTCTCTCTCTGCCTGCCTCTCCATCTACTTGTGATTTCTCTCTGTCAAATAAATAAATAAAATCTTTAAAAAAAAAAAAAAAAAAAAAAAGAACCAACACATAAAAATTCTAGCCCTAATGGAGCTTACCTTCCAGATGGGAGAGACAGATGATAAACTTGTGGACTGACAAATGATTAGAAATGCTAGGGGAGAAAAATTAGGCAGGGAGGAGACAAAAGTAGGAGGACAGGTGCTCTTTTAAATAAGATGATCAAGGAACACCTCTGGAGGAGGTGACATTAAGCAAAGGTTTGAAGAAGGTTAAGGAGCAAGATATCCCAACAGGCACCCTTCAAAGCAGAAAGCACGGCAAGTACAAAAACCCTGAGGCAGGAATATGCCTGAGTGCACCAAGAACAGCCAAGAGACCAGAGTGGCAGAATGAAGAAGGTAAAGACAGGGAAGAGGAAGGGGGGAGGGGTACAATTCCAGTGAGGCTTTTACTCTGAGTGAGTTGGGAGCCATTAGAGGCTTTATGGTAGAAAAGCGATGTCTTCTGACACACAGCACCACTTTGACTGCTAGGCTGAGTATAGACAGTAGTGGGTAGTAGAGACCAATTAGAAGGCTATTGAAATAATCCAAGAGCAAGAGGATGGGGCTTTGACCCGGAAGATAGGGATGAAGGAGATAAACTGACAGGGACTCCTCACAGATCGAATGTGAAGTAGGAAGAAAAGAAGACTCTGAAGTTTTTGGCCTGAGCAGCTGGAAGTATGGAATGCCGGAGCAAAGGAGAAGACTTCTAAAAAAGCAGGTTGGCGGTAAAAATCAAGAAGGCCAAAGGGAAAACAGGAAAGGACACATAATTTGAACAATTCTCAGTTCCCTCAGTTTATAGATGAAGAAAAAACCTACTTCATTAGGGTTGTTTTAAAGATAGCATGAATTAATGCAGTGAAGCATGTAGCCCAGTACCTGATAAATGGTAAGCAGCTAAGAATGTTACTTTCCTCTCTACAAATAGGAATTTCATACGTATCCACTATGCCCTCTGGGGATGAAACAGAGTCATTGTTTTAGAGGAAATCAGTCTTACTAAAAGGAAAGGAAAGGGAAAAGAAAACAGGAAAGAAAGGACATGAAATAAAAATATTAAAACAATGGACTATTACTCAGCCATAAAAAAGAATAAAATCTTGCTTTTTGTGATAACATGGATGAAACTCGAGAGTATTATATTACGTGAAATAAGTTAGAGAAATGCAAATACTATATGATTTCATTTACGTGTGGAATTTTTAAAAAGGGGGGGGCACCTGGGTGGCTCGGTTGATTAAGCCTCCAGCTCTTGGTTTCAGCTCAGGTCATAATCTCACAGTGGTGGAATCGAGCCCAGTCTTGGGCTCCATGATTAGTGCAGAGTCTGCTCCAGACTGTCTCCTCTCCCCCCACAACCCTTCCTCACTTGTGTTCTCTCTAAAATAAAATCTTAAAAAAAAAAAAAAAATCAGATTCATAGATACAGAGAACTGATGGTTGCCAGAGGAGCAGGGCATGGAGGTAGGGGACAAAATGGATGAAATTTAAAATAAATTTATAAAATAAATATAAAATATATTTATAAAATATATTTTATAATTTAAAGTATAAAATATAAAATATAAAAACAAACTATATTTTAAAAATATATTTATAAAATAAATAAGTCATAGGAAAGTATTGTACAGTAGGGGAAATACAATCAATAATATTGTATTAACTTTGTATGGTGATAGGTAATAACCAGACCTGTTATGGTGATTATTTCACAATGTATACAAACATCAAATCACTATGTTATACACCTGAAACTAATATGATATTCTATTTCAACGTACTTCAGTGTAAAAAGATAGAACATGATAGTCATTGGAGGAAAAAAAAAAACAACAGAAGAAATGAAATCCAACAAAAGTGTCTAAGACAATCCATGTGATAGTAGGTTCTCCTGAGTTCTACTTCCTCAAGGAGACAAACTATCAGAGTTTACTAGTTTGGGAAAGGAGTTTGAAATATGAAAAGTTCGTAGTAAAGCAGAAAAAAATACAGCAAATGTAATAAGTGAGGAATTTTTGTTGCTACTCCTTTATAAAAAATTATTTCAAATGAGATGTAACAGTAGAAAAAGTTGAAAGAACAGAGAATTCTAAAAAATAAAATTTAAGAAAACACAAATAGCCAGTGTATTTTAAAAGTCCAACTATAGCAATTACAGCTAGAATGAGAATTATTTTTGATTTATAAATTTGACAAGATTAGAAAAATTATAAAAATAATATTGTTGGATGTGGACAGTATCATATCATGCTGAAGGAAGTTACAGTAATTTTTAGAAATGTATATCTAAATATTTAAAATGTTTATAGTTTTCAAACAAGCAATTTTGCTTCTAGGAATTTATTCTAGTATTCAAACATTTGCCAAAACTTTATGTATAAGAATGTCTATCACAGCATCATTTAAATGCAGTGAAAAGAAAGTACTAAGTATCCAACAAGACAGAATTATGATAAGCACTAGATATTATGGTGAAGTCATGTTTTAATATTATAGACAGATTTTTTTTAAATATTGATGAATATTAAATGAAAATGTGTTCAATTATATAAAATAAGCCTACGACAAAACAGTTATTTTTTTAAAAACAGTTATTAAAGCAGGATTCTCCTTAAAATGTTACTTGTTCTCTTTATATTAGGATGACCCATTTTTATTCTCTTTGTTCTTTTCTCTATTTCCACGTTTTCTGCCATAAGCAAGTGTTGCATTCTCTGGGGGATAAAAAGCTATGTGTAAAATGAGATTCAGTGGATACTGCCAAAGTTTTCCAAGGTGGTTATAGCAATTTACACTCTCACTGGAAATATAGAAAAGAGTTCTAGTTTGAAGCAATTCATTTTTAAAATGATGGATCCAGTAAACAGTCATTGATTTGAACTCTACTACTTTAGAAGTTAAAATGATTAACTAAGCAGAAG